GCGAATGGGAGGTCTACGTGGGTCCCAGCCCCTCCACGAGCCTAGCGGTACTTCCAGCCAGTTGAACCAGACGTCACGGTTTCGGGTGCCTATGGGAAGGGTGCCTGGCTGGTTCCTTTGGTCCGATCCCCATATCGCCACTGTTGGACAGATGCTCCTCGAACCTTTTGTGCTTTCATGCGTGCGGGGCCTCACTTATATTGAGAAGCATTGAGCATGTGTTCTTTGTTGGTTTTGTTTGCATTTGACGGAAGGACACCTCAGCCGCAGCCCAACATTGATTTACAACTCATACATTCTGGTGTGTTTTGACCTGCCTTGCATATGATCCAAACGAAGCTTTCCGAACCTTTGGTGAATCGATGGGCTTTGTGATTGCGTTGGGCATTGTTTGGGATCACCCTTTTGCTGCGGGCCCTTGGTTTGTCGCTCGTGAGTCGAGGTGCCACCCAACTCATTGTGCCGCGCAACTTCTGGATGGGGTATACCCGAGACATCCCATGGCCCTCCTGATGGCCAAATCTCTGACGTACCATGTCCTTTGCCTCGATTTACAGTGCGGATGTAGTTCACAAATGATTGTCTTAAAAAAAACAAACGGATGCGAAGCTTTGAGAATGGGAAAGCCATGGAACTTCTGGGGTTGCACATCCTTTCCGCTCGCCGAAGGGTGAGCGAAACTGTCCTCTCTCGACTTAGCTTTGGCTCCGAGGGGGTCCCCGTCGGAAGGGCCAAAAGCGATCGGCACAGAGGACATTCCATTGCGACCTAAGTTGGCTTACCGGGGCTTTGTAACCTGGCCGTGAATAAAGTGTTTTAATCGTTAAAGCTGTCCATGTCTTCTTTCAGGTCGGCAGTCGGTTTTTGGACAGGTGATGGGCTAGGAGACTCTTTACTAATACCGCAAACCAGCGCTCCCGAGGGAATTGCGGTGTGTGTCCTTGCTAGTGTGATCATGAGTTCTTGCATGTCAGACGCTCATTGGAATATTGGTTTTGGGCTGGTGGAAGTTCCTTTTGAATAGGTGATCTGCTGGGCACTTATAAGCCCAACATTTCGGTGTACCTTCTCCCAAATGAAACCGCGGCACTCGGACCGGCCTCTTGCCCCTTACCGCCAGGTGTCCACCCTCGCAAAGGAGGTGGGCGAGTGTCAGGCGAGAAGATGGTCGCCGTTGCCAGTAAATAGAGACCAGCAAAGTTCAGAGGCATCCAAGATGATGTCACATAATTTGGGTTTGTGCATTCTTGTGAAGTTGTGAGTGTTCGTTCAGTGTCCTGACATGCTGGTAGAGACGTGTGTGGTATGTTTCACTTGGAGTCACATGGAGAAGCGAGAGGCAAGAGTGCAGTTTCGACCCACCCATTGCGGAAACCACCCGGCCAGCACCAGCGGTCTGGAAAGTGTTTGGTCCCCGCAGTTGTTCGGAGCAGCTATTTAGGGCAAAGATTTAGTTCCGGAAGGACTCCAGAGGTTGCCGTTGGGAAGACCTGGGCTTGAGAATCAAAGGTGTCATGCCAACATCACAGAGGGGCGACTACTTGTGGTCATTCTGGCTGCACTTGCAACATGGCAAACAAACCGAGAGAATTGCCAGTGGCATTTTGGGTTGAAGTTGTGCGCGTATGTGGGTTCCGTTGGGGGCTGATTCACAGCACAGCTTAGAGTTGTAAGGTTGGTTCCATTTTGGTGGCTCAGTGCAAAGCAACTTGCAGTTTACGTCATCTGAGTCAGGTTCTGCCCCCTCCAAAGCCAACGGCAGAAGATAGCGGGGCACCCACCAAGCTGCGTCCAGCAAGCCACTCGCCAAATCATTGCTGGTAGGCCCTTCGAGTCGACACTGCAAGGGCAGTTTGGCGTGGCGCTCTTGTGTTTCCCCTTGCAGAAGCCGATGTTGTTTCTGGAAGGGAATCCTCACCCATATTGGAAAAGGTCGTGCCACAATCTTGCACATTCCGTGCCATTTCCGTGCTAGGGTCTCAGAGTTTTAGTTGAGAGCAAGAGGTACTCTCAAACAATCAATCACTGTAGGATGCATTTGCCATTGCGGGGGACGGACCAACCGAAACCACTTGGAGGTTTCATGCCGCGCAAGCTTGCCGCTTTGTTCGCAGGTAATTACGACGTGCTGCGATGACCAGCAGCTTGGCAGTTTTCAGCGGGTTGACTTGTTTGAGCCTTCAGCCAAAGCGATCGGAGTGTCTTCCCAAAGTAGGAGACCCATTGCAACGGATGGCTTCATTTGGGCTTCTTAAACAACAAGAACAAACTGACAGGGCGCGGTTGATTTAGGAAGCACCAACTGTGCGTAGTCCAAGCAACATGTTCGTACTGAAGAAGTGCTATCTTGTTCTTCATTGAACAATGTCTAAGCCCAGTCAACATACACTCTTTCATTGCTAGGCTCAACAGATGCATTCCTTTTTTTGAATCAACGACTGTCAGCCATGAGCTGTGCTCGCATCCAAGCAGAGTTTCTGAGAGGTGCGAACCCCGGGGACCCAGACTGGAAGGGCTCAGGTTGGTGCAAGTTGCCTGTGTGCATCTGGACACGTCTTGGGACATCCCTTTTGTGGATCAATGAAAATACTTATTTTGTGTGGACATGCCTTACAGATGGACTTTCAGGACCTGGATTTGTCGGGAGCGATCTCTTGAGGCTGACTTGCCATCCTGTTTGTTTGAGGAAACCGGTGCCAAACGCACTATCGGATTCCGTTGCCCTTGTGATGTTTTACACATTTTATCTGGACATTGGGGTGTGGTTCTTATTTTGTGGCCCTTATTTTGCGCTCCTCATTTTGCGCCCTTCATTTTAATTATACATAACAAGCTCTCTGCCCCGGCCTCTTGCGTCTGCGAGACGTGCGTCAGGTTCTCGATTTGCTACCACAGCACGGCCACCAACCAGCTCATTGCCACGGTGACCCGCACGGATTCCGTGTCTGGCCGGGGTCCCTGGGGCTGAAACTGACTTCCTGCCATTGTTCAGGGTTTCTACTACCTGTTGCAGGGGTGTCTGCTACTTTCAGGTTTCTGCTACCTTTGCAGGGTTCCTGGTTTGCGGATGTGTGTGTGTGTGGAGATCAAGAGGCCTGTGGCCATCTCGGCAACTGGAACGGTTTTCGGGCTCTCAATTTCAGTCGTGTCAACCCGGGGCACCTTGTTTTACTGATCCGTTGGGCTTTGAGTGCTTTTCTATAATCACCAAGAGACACCCTACTATGGAGTGTATGTGAAGGATGGGTTTCTGAATCCAGATAGGCCTTGGGTTTATGTACAAATGGCTTTCTTAGGGAGCTCGTGGCCAAAGCAGGAGTCCTCGCGTCATTATGTTGACAGAAAACAAGCTTCCTGGAAACAGTCACTCACCCCTCCGCTCAAAAAGAGAGGGTAACCCTTATGCGGGCAAGCATCTTCCTAATTGATCCCTCCTTGGAATCACGAGAGGTGCCTTCTCATGCGCGAGGCTGGGGTCAACAGCTCTGGCTCCGGTGCTTTGCGACCCCAGGCCGATTCGTTCGCCGCGTCGGTTGGGAGTTGTGTTCCCAAGCACTTTTTGGGGATGAGGGCGACGCAATGCCAGCCGAAGTGTGCACCACCTGCTTTGTTAGAGGTTGGATGTGCATTTATTTGTTTTTAAAGCGTTGCGGTCTTTGCAGTTACTCCAGAAAGGGTGGGATTGTCGGCTGTAGTGTTGGCTTGCGGTTTTGAACGCGCAACTGCGGGTGTGGCATCTGGCAGTTCCGTGGCCAGTTGGGTGGTGCAGAAAGCCTGATTTCATTGGTCGTGCAGGGGATACAGGATACAGGAACGATCGAACCCAGGCTGCCCCTCCCTCCGGGTGTACCCGCAGAAGCCGAACAGAATCAGCAAACACGGGTTTGGAGGATAAGACCCCTAACAAGACCCGGTTTTTCTTCCAGCGTATGAGCCCCAACAGCTGCCCAATGCTTCACCTCGTCACAGGTTTTGAGGCATGGAGCAATTTTTTTTGGGCTCCCCAGTCAGACTTGGAAAGTTGAGATGGGCTGGGAGGTGCCCAATCCAAAAGTGCGCCAGTTACCACGGAGAAGCGTGCCGCGGCAGCGCCCCTGTCGCTGGAGCTGTTTGATGTGCCTGGGCGCCCAGAGTTGCCGCCAAGGATTGGAGCAGGTTGCTCCAATGACAACAGATTTTATGGAGTCTGGGATTTTGCCTCAGGGTTTCATGGCAATTGTTTGCTTTGAGATCAAGTTGGTCCAATCCCTACACGCCCAGGATTAAAGTGGACTGGAGATATCAAGGGCTGTTTCCTTGAGTGCAATCCTTTTCTTCAGCAAGGGCATCACTAGCCTTTCTTCCTTCGGGTATGATTCAGGGGCGTTGTGGCCTAAATGCATGAGAAATGCCGACATTTCAACTGATAGAGCATCTAGCAGGTGTCCAAGTAAAGACCTCGGGGACCGCAACTGCGGACAGGCAAGGGATGGGAATGGAAGGCGTTGTTGTTTCAAATAGAAGCTGAGAGGGCTGCTTTGTTGGTTGTTTTATAAGCATATCGGAGCCGGAGGTGTTAGATGATTCGCCCGTGTCAAAAGCGTCCAAGCCCACCTCAATTCTCGAATTCCCCTGTCACGTGTGTGCAAGCGGCAGTTTGCTGAGCTCTGGATGACTCCGGGTAGTTGGAGAGATGTTGTGTTTGGATGCATTGAAACCGGCAAAAACACCGCCCCTGCTTATATGTTGATCACGACCGAGGGCCTCACTACTATTGCAACATGTGTGATCAGGTGGCCAATCATCACTGTCCCGCCACCGTTAGACTCATCATGATGCCCCTTCTGATCATCATTTACCAATATCATAGTTTAGACATGTGTGTGCTCGAGTGCGCACACTTGTAGTGATTTGGAATTTTCGGCGTCACACCGAACCGCTTCTGTTTCATGCGGTTTCTAAGGCAGCCCTTTCACCAGAGCGTATGTGCACGCACATCGGTCGCCAGGGCGCGAGAGTCCATGGAGTCCCGCTACTCTTTGGGCCAAGAGATCGGAGATTGCCTTTGTGCCTGGGCCCCGAGAAAGAAGTCTGCCCAAGACGACGGATCGCTGTTGAAGTTATGGATCAGAAGCAAGATCGGATTTTGGGTGGGGGGTATGAGCTGAAGACGATTTTTTACGTGTTTTGACTTTTTGTGGTTTCCATGATGGGTCCAGTTATATGGTTTGGCAATTTGGGTCTGTAGCTACGCGGCTGGGTAGGCCTGAGGGATCCACCAGTCGTCGACTGGATTCCTCGCAGATTTGGAAGGGTTGACCTGTGAATCAAAGGGCTAAGTTGGTCCTGCCTTTACCATTTGAGCAAGTAAGTGAAGTGTGAATGCGGACGGGAATGCTGGATGTCTTTTGTGTTCTGATGATTTATCCTGGCCCGCAAAAAGTTAATCCTAAGGTAGGGGTTTGTGCTGAACGTCCCATTTGAAGTAAGGATGTTCGCATGCCTGGGGCCCAGGTTGTTCTTGGCTCCGGGGTTGGCGCAAATGACCAAGTTATGATAGGCTTGGCAGGCCCTTGCCTGGTTGAAAGGTTGAGCTCTCTGGCCCAAAAACAAATCCACGTTTTGCATTTGTCAAGTGTGGTCTGCGTTAACCTTGGCTCCAAAGACTTTCATTTTGCATGTCCTTGGGCAATTCGTCAAGTGACAAGTCCAGTCCCACTTGTGATGAGTTTGAAGCCGTTTCATTCAGTGAATACATGAAGTTAGCTGAGCCGGTGAATACCTGTCACTGCTCATTCAGTGGCATATGTTGGGACCGTTGGGGGAGCCCAGTCAAGGCAACATGCTGTGAGCTGAATGTGTTTGTCTCAAGCAGCTGGCCACCAACTGGACATGTGCAAAAGCCAGGTACCTTCCATGGGACAGTCCACTGCTCTTGACATTACATATATATATATATATATATATACATATGATACATGTATATATAATATATATATGGTTTGTCCTTTTGAGGAAACCTATCAACGACTTGTAGCTGCCCATTTGGTGCCGTTTGTGTTGTTTCCTACCAAGACCCGTTCGGCTTGACTTTCACAATAGTAGAAATCTCGGCTGGATAGATGTGTTAGTGCTTGTAACAACATTGTATTATCAGAACCCCATTTCACGGACCAAGTATACCAGGCCCGCAAACTTAGAAGCATATGCACAAGGTAATGACTCTGCTCTGATTTGCCATTGATTTCCAGTGTTTCCGCTATAAGTTGTTCGGTAATTATTTGTGCTTGTTCCCCACGAAGCTTTGGCTTGAAACCCAAATTTTGCCCGTTCCCTTCACTTCAACACTTGCGTGAAGCCCCAATTTTCAACCGGCGAATCCTTTCAGCCGGCGGAAACTCTTTGCCCGCCAAGGCTCACCCCAACTTGCAGATCCGCCCCTTGGGCGGCGAGTGGGCGCGGATGCCCACCGGATACGGGAGAGATCGGCGGAATGGGTGGAATGCGCTTGTGCAGCTACCAGCAGCCGAGTGGCGCCCTTCGTTTGTGTTTTTTGGAGGTTAGTTTTGGATTCAACTACGAGGGGAGACTACGAATGCAGTGTTGCCGGTTTTTGGCCGTTGATGTTGGTGTGCCAAGAGTTTGCATAGCAGAATATCGCCGGGAGGCTTGGGGTGCGTCATCAACTTCGGCCAGTGTGGAGCAAGCCTGGTGCAGACACTGCCTTGTCAGAGCAGCTAGCCACAGTGCAGATACCTGACTAAACCTGTTTGCTACACGGGGAGCCAGTTTTTCGGTTGGTTGTAAAAGTGAGAGACACTGGTAAACCCACCAAGTGTTTCTCCAGTTTCATGTTTTACAGTGACATGGCTGTATGAGCCCAATTCCAGGGAGCTGGATATTTCACCCTGGGATTCTGGGATGCGTTGCCGGGAGTTGCCATGCGCAAAGGGGTAACTCCACAGCTTGTTCATGTAGGTGTATTCCCTGGTGTATTTGGCCCATGCACCGGCCAGCTTGAAAGGAAGCTATCAAACCAAGCACGGCGTCGTGCTACAGCCAACTGGATGAAGAAAACTTGGAGGTCGGACCCCGATGAACTTGCTCAAACTGGTTGGCATCAAATTCCTGTGGGCCTGTATGGATTGCAGGACAGAATGTTTTGCGTGACGTGCGCATTTCAGTCAAGATAGTGATTGTGATGCAGCCTTGAGACCCACTTTTGCTATAGAGGATACAGCAATATTTGTGGGATTGCGCATGTCAGAAGCGTGTGCTTTGTATATTGAGCTGGCAGAAGATGCCTTGTTTGATGTCTTGCGTGCAGACCAAGTGGCGAATGCGGCTCAGGATAGCTTGATGCGATCCCATATTTCTGGAACTCAAGGTTGAGGGTGTGAGGGAAGTCTATGTCTCATTCTGGGAAGCATAGGGCAAGAACCGGATATGTGCTTTTGTGTTTACCATGTTTACCCTTTAAGTTGCCTTTCTTAGGGCGGTGTTAAAGAGAAGCCAAAGGGAAACCGGGGAAACCGCGCAGGTCGTGGGCTCCATGTCTTTTTTGTGACGCACCCAGCGGCTCTTGCAGGTCACCATGTCCTGCGAGGACATGACCTTGCGCGCTGAGAAGCCCAGGGCCGGAGCGATCACCCCCTTTGGCGTTTTGCCTGTGGAAAGGTGAGCTCACCTGGGGGTAAGAGGAGCTCACCTTGATGTAGGTCCTTGACTTGGGGGTCCCTTATTCCAAGTGGGTCAAGATAAACATCGGGCTGTCCCTTAACTTGTTTTGCAGGCCCGAGCCATTGCAAACCGATGCCGAGGAAACCAAACTACCCCGGCAAGCCATGAAGACTCAATTGGCTCAAATAGTCCGGGTTTTTGTGAGCTGCCCCTTGTGTCGTTGAGAAGCTATACAAGACATGGAGTTGTTGCTAAGCTGAGATTCTGGAGTGGGAAATTTGCAGGGAAGGAACCGATACTCAAACCCAGACTCAGTTGATACCTAACCGATACTCATGCCTGCCAAATCCAACCAACTGCCCAGGAGCACGCCTGTCTTTAGTTTGCTATATTCACCAACTCGAGTTCCTCTTCCTGATGACCAACTGCTGTTGAGACACGCGAAACAGCCATCGCCGCTGCCTGCTGCCTGCCTGCTTTTCCTACTTGTGTTACGTGGCCGCCTCAACGTCTGCCCCAAAATATAGGGAACCGTGCTGAGAAATTAAATAGCAATACTAATCGCTAGTAGGGTATCAGGGTATCAGGATACAAAAATATCAGACGTTGTTCTTTTGTTTAAACAAATAGTACTACTTTGTACAACAGATCAGCCCAGGTGTTGAATTTATGTTTTGTTTTCTGGTGTGTGTCTTGTTGGTCAACATATTGTTGCCCTCTGAGAACACTTTTTGTTGACAGATGAAAATCGAGGTAGTCCACAAAAGCCACATTCAAAGGTCCTGTGTGGGGAACCATGAGGGCAGTGAACTACAGGTGGTTTAATGTCCAGAGGGAACTGTTCTTTTGATTATGTTTCAGATGGTCAGTCCATGCTTACGGACCTTCAAATTTGGGCATTTGTCTTGCATCAGGCGCAGTAAAGCCATGAATCCACACAAGGGGTCCTTAAAGGCTGACCTGAGGGCTTTTTGGCCTTTGGATGGGCAAGCCTTAAGTAAGCCTCTTCCAACTTGCCATCCTTCGGCAATGAGCACCCTTTGAACCACAACTTGCCTGGGGCGATGTTTCATTCGGCCATTTCGTACCTTCATTTTGCATCAGCCTATGCGACGAAGCGTGTGATATTTCAATCGTGGTCTAAGCTTATGTTGTCCCACTGCCTGCGCGTTTCACGTGCTGGTCCTTTGTCTTGGGATGGCGGACATTTACTTGGCCAATGTTGGCCGCACTCTTGTCTCATACTTATGCATAGGCTAAGAGTTTAGTTTTGGCCGACTTAGACAGACCCAGGCAGAGACCATAGGTTGTCCAACCTGAGACCCTTGTGGAATGCAACAGCTGCCGACTACATGTTTCAATGTGAGTGCTTTGGACCCTCAGTATGAGCAGAAACCTAGATCCAGGGTCTCTTGTAACATACCCTGAATGACTCCCCATAGATGGTGTTTGGATCAGACTCAAGCAGCCTGTGTTTTGAATCCAGTCAGAAGGAAGGTGCTTCTAGTTCTGCATCACAACCACTTCCGAAAGCTGGGTTCCGGTCCGACTGGGCTTCATAGTTTCCGCCACAAAGATCAAGCTTCTGGAATTGCTCAAGGGCCACATGAAGTTTGCCGAGATCTATTTTTCAGGTTGTCAACTAGACCACGGTTGGCCCGAAAGCAGAACATCGCAAGCGAGGTCGGCCCAACGCTGCAGGATGCGTTCTTTTTCCCTACACGAAGCATTCGTGAAGCAAGCGCGAGACAGCACCAGGCAAGGTGCTCTGCGCAAACTGGTCGGTGCAAGTTGGTCTGCGCAAGTTGCTCTACGCAAGTTGCACTGTGCAAGTTGCTCTGCGCAAGTTGCTCCGCGCAAGTTGCTCCGGCAAGTTGGTCCCTGCAAGTGGCTCCCTGCAAGTTGCTCTGTGCAAATTGCGCTCCCTGCAAGTTGCTCTGTGCAAGCTGCTCTGTGCAAGTTGCTCTGTGCAAGTTGCTCTGCGTAAGTTGCTCTGCGCAAGTTGCTCTAGGCAAGGCGCTCTGCGCAAACTGGTCGGTGCAAGTTGGTCTGCGCAAGTTGCTCTGTGCAACTTGCTCTGCGCAAGTTGCTCTGCGCAAGTTGCTTTAAAATGCAAGTTGCATCTTGCGACGCCCGCCCGCGGACCAGGGAGGAATCGAACCCGCGACCCGCCGGTTCCGGGAGCAGGCGCGCGAACCACGAGACAACTCCCGAGGACCAGTTCGAACAACAAAAGTCGCAAAAACCTCGAGTTTTTGCACCTCCACCACGCCTCAGAGGGTTGCGCGAGCACCGTAGAAATCGCAGTTTTTGCACCTCCCCGCCGATTCCCGCAGAGGGTTGCGCGAGCACCGCAGAAATCGCAAAAAACCTCGAGTTTTTGCACCTCGACCACGCCGATCCCCGCAGAGGGTTGCGCGAGCACCGCAGAAATCGCAAAAAAACCATGGGTTTTTGCACCTCGACCACGCCGATCCCCGCAGAGGGTCGATTTTCGTGTAGTGTCGTCGGCACTACCCCGCCGCCCTAAGAAGAGATTTTAACTCCTCGCAAGTCAATTGCACTTGACTCCTTGCACTTGCAACTTGCACTTGACTCCTTGCTTGTTTCAAGGAGTCATTGCAAGGAGTCATTGCAAGGAGTCATTGCAAGGAGTCATTGCAAGGAGTCATTGCAAGGAGTCATTGCAAGGAGTCATTGCAAGGAGTCATTGCAAGGAGTCATTGCAAGGAGTCATTGCAAGGAGTCATTGCAAGGAGTCATTGCAAGGAGTCATTCGCCAAGTTGCAAGTGCAAGTGCAAGTCGCAAGTGCACAAGTGCAAGAGCCAAGTGCAAGGAGCCAAGTGCAAGGAGCCAAGTGCATGGAGTCAAGTGCAAGTTGCAAGTGCATGGAGTCAAGTGCAAGTTGCAAGTGCAAGGAGTCAAGTGCAAGTTGCAAGTGCAAGGAGTCAAGTGCAAGTTGCAATCCTTGCCATGACTCCTTGCAATGACTCCTTGCAATGACTCCTTGCAATGACTCCTTGCAATGACTCCTTGCAATGACTCCTTGCAATGACTCCTTGCAATGACTCCTTGCAATGACTCCTTGCAATGACCTTGCAATGACTCCTTGCAATGACTCCTTGCAATGACTCCTTGCAATGACTCCTTGCAATGACTCCTTGCAATGACTCCTTGCAATGACTCCTTGCAATGACTCCTTGCAATGACTCCTTGCAATGACTCCTTGCAATGACTTTCATGATGATGATTCCTTGCAATGACACCTTGTAATGACTCTCATGAGAACAACTCAAGTGAACCCAGCGGAAGAACCCTTCGCCATGCTTTCTGGAAAAGTAGGGCTCGGGGCTCGGGCACCTGTTGCAAATGAAGAGTCCCGATTTGGGACAATATCCATTTTGGGTATTTGAGTATTTCTGGTTCGCCATGTTTCGACTAGTACACATAAATATTGTTCTTGTTCATTTTGTCCGTAAATAACAAGCACAAATACATATACAAATATATCGATAGATAGACAGATGGATATATAGATAGATAGATAGATAGATAGATAGATAGAGCAACTTGACATATCCCATCCACCACACCTCCAGGAACCAGGCGTTGTGTCCGACCTCTCCCGAGGTTTGCACTTTGCAGCCCTTGGCGCTGGACACCACGTACGAGGCCCGTGTCCAGGTGGCCTGCCGGGGAACCCGAAGCTGGTGCAAACCACTGGGTGCAACGAGCCAACTGACCAGCCAACCAACCAACCAACCAACCAGCCAGCCAGCCAGCCAGCCAGCCAACCAACCAACCAACCAACCAACCAACCAACCAACCAGCAGGTGGGGAAAAACATTTGGCGGTTGTTGCTTGAAACCAAGCAAGCAACATCGATCCAATCACCCATCTCCAACCTCCCAATCATGTGTGTGTATGCCTGAGTATTTTTGTTTTGGTTTTTCGAGTTGTTTGCCGTTTTAAGGATTTATTCATGTTTGGTACGGGGCAGCAAAGGACAGGCTCGGCTTGCAGTGTGCGCATGCTTGGGGGGTTGGCAAGGTTTGTCCTGACGCACGAGCTAGCAAGGGAAACAACATGAAACCTGGGCCAAAGGCCAAAGAGATGCTTTGCGACGTCACAAGGGATATGGTTATTCTCATCCATGATGACACACAGTTCAAGCTCGTTCCATGAATGTGTGTTCCCCTTAATTATTTTGGGTTGGTGAATTCTACCACCATTCTTGTTTAGCGCCAACCCGTTTGAAGCCAACGGAACTGCGGAGCCACCCTAGGCCCATCGCGAAGCTAGTCATAGTTTGCCATTAAGCACACGCGATTTCTCAGCGCCAAACATAATCCTTTCAGGAAAAGTGGACATATTTGTACTCTCCTGCGAGGATTGATGAAACAGCGGGTCAACAAAGTGCTTCAAAACTTCAGACCTTTGCAAGAGTGTCTTGCATTGCCACTACCACTGTCAGTTGTTGACTGCGCAAGCTAGTTGGGTCTCTTCACATATCTCTTCGGCATTCTGTTGATCCCCTTTGAAGCTATGGTCCTCAGGAATCATAGCCCAAAACATGCAAGTTGGATCCTCAAGGACGGTCATGCACAATCAAGCGCCTTTTTGACTCCTCATATCATGGATTGTTTGCATTTCCCACGAAACCAGGGTTTGACGGAGTCCTCACAGGTTTGATTGCCTTGAGGCGAGAACAGCTCTCTGAACAGCCCCTGGACTTACTCCACTGTAGGGAGCCCCGGGCCAGGTTTGCTGGAGGTTGGGGTGTCACATGGAAAAGGCAGTTGGTTTGGACAGCGCACAGCGCGGACCCTCCGAGGTAATTACGTGCAAAGCGTTGGACCTATACCCACGTGCAAAGTGTGTGCATTGGACCGTCCACCAACATGAGGCTACTCGTAGGAGGGCCAAAGCCTTTAAAGCAGGCGGATAGCGTGCCAGACGGCTATGGAGGCATTCCAGCAAAAAGTCCACTCAAAGGTATTATACTGACAGCTTGGACATGTTCAAATCAGGTCAGTTCATGTTCCAATCCCTACCCTTCGGATTCTACGTCTACGTCATACGCCATGGCTACTGAGTGACAATTTCCAGCAGATTTGGTATTTAGTGTTTAGGATGAACCCCAGTCAGCGACCGACCTGACCCACAATAGTGTTGGGCAATGGACACCATGATGTAGGATATAAAAGACAAACCATTCCACGATTGCTAATTGGATGATCAAAACTCGAGCCATAACTAGAATGGGTTTGCCACTCCATGACATGTGTGGCCTGCCTGCGGCGGAAAGCAGATCAACAGGACCTGTCTTCTCTGAGAGGGTTCCGCTATCCTCAAACAACTACCCGCGGCAACAGGGGTATGCAAGCATCATGCATACTGTGTACACCTTTCTGTGTTGCGGGTAGCGTTTTGGTGGTGGTGGAAGCCCTTGTAGAGCTGACCAGGGGCGTGATGCTTCACCAGCAAGAGGGCCAATCAGGTGTGAAGCAGAAACCCTGCCACTTACGCCACGTTGGCACATTGGCCCCCCAAGGAAGCTTCTACAATCTTCTACACAAGATGGCGCGAATGATTCGGCTGACCAATTCAGCCAGTTGCCACTATCGGCATCCGTTCGACAAGACTGCTCAAGATTTGAACTCGTTCACGAGTACCTGTTGCAGAAGTGCCAGCACGTGTTGAGACAAGCACCCATCAATGAAGTCCGTATATTAATGCAGCTTGCTTGGGCCTGCCAGCAAGATCCAACCTGCATCCCATGCGTTTGACATGGTTTCGGGAAATGGGGTGATTTGCTCAAGAGGTGAGCTAGGGGGGTAAACCACTTTACCTGTGAAGCAGTTTTTTTCCCCCGGTTTGCAGCTGGATAATTCTACCTTGATCATTCGCAGCCAGACTAAAACATGTCGAAGGTCCAGCCGAGCCAACGTCAGCTGAGGAGCAGCTGTCCACGAATCCAGGCATTGCACTGAGTGAACCGGTGGGGGGGGAGTCGTCAAACAGAAGCGAAACACACTAAGGGTGTCCAGAGATCGTGAATTCCTTGTTGGATAGCACTTCACCAGCAGCAACTTGAAGCCACTTCTTTCTGGGTGCCCCAAATGTTTGCAGATGCATCAATGGAAACAAGGTGCGAGCAGCCCAAAACTTAGCATGCAAGCGCCAACGAAGGTCCACGTTGGCTTTTCAGGAGGGATTGTGTTTGGGGTTGGTCTTTTAAACGGTTTAAAAGGCGGGGTACGACTCAAGGCTAACGGGTGCCCATAAGAGCTCGCTGCCAGTATACTATACCTGTATTCATGGATCGAAGCTTTACTTGGCTGACATTTCAAGATTGGAATTCCAGGAACAATACGAAGCCATTTAAGTGCATGGGCATTTAGGACTATTTTTTCCACGATCCCAACCAGCCAGAGCTGGCAGAGGGTTTAAACGCGTCCCACACACACATGGATGTTGGGCCCAATGTTGTGGTGAGTCAGTCTGGTTGTGCGCCTGTACAAGCCATTGAGGTATGCTAGATTTGGTGGCAATCAAGGCTTCTCCACTGGCTGGCAAGACTGAACAGCCATGACTCCTGCTTGGCACCAATACAGCAACTGTTCTTAGCCACACTGATTGAATCGAGGAATTGATCTCGCCATCCTATGAATATGATAGGAAACAAGACCTGTGGCACGAAGGTGTCTACAAGCCAGCGAAGACAGATAGGACTTTCTCAGCAGTTTGTTTCTCCGTTTCCTACATATCCGATGCTTTCTTTCGTCTTCATTCAGAGCAAGCCAGGGGCAAGTTTTACTTGGGGTTTTTGGGCGGCCTCGCATGTTGGATTGAAGGGAAGCGCGTATATACACCAAGCTTCGGGGATCCATTTTTTTCAGACAAAGCCATGCGCAAGGCTGCAAGTGGAATTCGGACTCTGGGAACTCCACGGGCTTCGAGTGCAAGGAGAGATGGGCGGGTTGGAGCGAGTCTGGGTCCAGCAGACACATGGTTACCTCTCAAAAGGAGAGGGACCTTCTGAAATGGTTGGTTGCACTTCGGATTGTCGATTCACGAGAAGCGAGGGGGGAAGGGGGGGGTGCGAATTACGTAGAATCAGAGTCATATTGACATGAGATGCACTATCAGTATCAAGATGTCTGATGACAGTTGGTGTATGTGTAGCTGAAGCCTGGCTAGTAGAACCCCCCTGAGACTTTCTTCGACAATTTGGCCCGTCGCACGGTACCCAGGGGTTGTGAGGCCATTCGCGCAAGACCAACCCCTTAAGGGTGGTTTTGTGGTGAACCCCGCCTTCATTCAAAGGGCCGCCCAAACCGGGAAGCTATTTGGAGTCTGCCACACCCTTCACTGACCTGAGTTGACTTGCCAGAGCAAGTTGCAACTTTATAACCCTGCACTATAAGCTCAAGTGTCAGATTTGGCAGCTCAATGAATTATAGGGCAATGCAATGTACTTATTTTAAAGGGCCCAGCGGCCTTTGGGATATGATGTGAATGCGCCACAAACGGAGGACCAGGAACCAACATTATCGGCTGATGGTTTCCATATTTGGTGTCAAGAACAGGTTAAGGCCCACCACCGCCGCCACCACCATGACCACAACAGCAGCAAAAGCAACAACAGAGCAACAGCAGCTGCGGCTACAACAACAACGTCGTCCTTGTCTCCTTATTTGTTTTTTCTTCTTCTGCGTCTGTTCTGTTTATTCTTCCTGTTTCCGTCTTGATCGTCGTCATCCACGGAATGGTCAACCGCCCACTCAGCGAGGACGGCCGCATCTGTGCCTCGGAGGGCTGCTGCGGCGGGGATTTGCAGCGCTGCCCCGCCGATGCTCCGGTAATGCGCGTGCCCAAGCGGGGGAGTCACAAGGACGGGCTTGGTTGTCACCATGGCCCGAAGAACTGGAATGGTTGGATTCACGGCCAAGTTAAGCCATGATCACAAGATGTCAGAAATTGGCGAGCACCTCAAATTGCTTGTTGAGTGGGCAAGCGGTAGCTGTAAGCTAGTAAGCTTCTTGTTGGCAGGTGTCCTCATCATGGCAGTCAAGGCAGAGGTGTGTTTCCCTGAAGCTTCGAGGGTTTTTTCAAGTTGGCTTGAATATCTGGTTGCCTGCACCTGGAGACAAGTCTGATTTCTGCTTTGGGTTGTGGTGCGGGGGCTGCAAGCTATCGCAGCCCGCAATTCCAGACCGGCCATCAAAGGCACCAGCAGAGTGACAGATGAATCGCCACCAGGGCACCTGGGCGCATTCAATCCCCCAAGCACGTGCTTGCATGCGCGCATTCGTCTTCCTCCAGTTTTCGTCCGAGCACTTTGTAAACGAACTTCGTGATGGAGGAAACTCCCAAACTCGATGGCTTTGGCACGATTTGTGACTGATTTGCAGTCAGGACTACGATGACTCATGGATCTAATCACGATTTACTTTGCCAGACATAGTTGACGCGTTTGCCCTTGTGGTTTCCCCGTATATATATATATATATATATATACGGTGTGTCTTTTCTTTGAGTAACCACTCTTCCGTTGGCTTTCAAAGGAGCACCACAAGGAAATCGGCCATTTTGGGGGGTTCCCTAACACAAGTTGCACCCAGAATCGCCCGTATTCTCTTTTGGGCAGCTGAAAGCTCACGTTTTGGGGCCAGATTCTGACCAAGTTCCATGGCCAGCCGAGCTTCAGGTGCTCATCCTCGTGCTCGGGGGACTACTGCTGTGCCGCTTCGGCGGCGGCCTGCGGCACGGAGAGGCTGAGTCATGTCTGTTGAGGGTACCCTGGTCTGGTTGATTTCAAGGCAAAACAACAGAAAAGCCAATGTCTTTGGTGTTTTGCTGTTTTGACACCTTCCCGAATATTGCAAGAACATGGGAAGCCCTTTGATTTGCTGCAATTTGCCACCGGAAAGGGCATCTTAAACCCGTAATAAACGGGGCAGAACAACTATAAATTCAACGTGAATTTCCCATGATCATGAGGAAAGTCGGAACCTGCTATTGTTTGGGTCCTTATAGCACCCGTTCGGGGATGCTTTGACGACACAACAAGAGGGAAACAAAGCTCATTGGGGGTCAATATCTTCGCTTAAGATGATTCCTTTGGTACTTATCTGTGGCTATAGCTACTACTACTGCTCAGTGAACCAACCCCATCTTGGTTCAAAGCCCAATGGTGATGATAAAACCAGCCCCCGTCCCAAGCAAAACATGCTTGAAGACTCGGGAAAACCAATCATTGCAGGAGTCCCATTGGGTTGCGCAGGCCCTGCTCCGACAGCCAAGTGCCTGCGAAGCAGCCCAGCGTGCTGTCAGCGCCACGCCCAGAACGGCGTCGGACCCCAAAGGAGATGAACAGATGGAACCACCCCATGTTGCAATGGCAGTCTAAAATCCCCAAGCAGTCCACAACCGACCAGATTCCAATTTTTTGGAGGGCGTTTCGAACTATGGTATTTTACCTGGATGAGGCTTGGTCGAATCTCCAATCATTTGTGGTCCTTTGGGGAGGGACATGGGGGGAATCATGCAATGGAACACGAAAGCCAAATTTCAGACCTTAAATGCTTAATATCCTCGAGGGGAGCAAATTATTTTGACCGTGGCTCAGACGTCTATGTGTCAGGTTCTCATTTTGGTTTACCTCCAAAGGGTGACATTAAAAAAAAACACCATGGGTACGTGTCAAAATAGGGTTCCTTTGGTGTGTACCAACTAAATGAGCAACTGCATGGACAACATGCCCATTCCTTTGGTGCACCTGAAATCCCTTGGGTGGTTTCCCTTTGGTTTCCATCCACCACAAAAAAAGGGGGCTCAAAAAAGCCCGCCCAGACCCTCAAACTACCCACGGAAAAGGGGACATTCACCCCACCATTTTTGGGCAATCGCCATTTTTCAAGGGGATGTTGAGGGCAAATTGGCACGAAATCCAATCCTGCACAGCCTAAGACACCCCGGAATGGCGATTGCCCTGTCGAGGCCAACAAACCTTATGGTTTCAAGTTTCCCATGGTTTCACTTCGTGGTGCGACCCGCGGATTTTTCGTCGCCCTCCACGCGGACGAAGCGCCGCGCCGAGGTGGTGCCGTCCCGGGACGGCCTGGCGCTCGCCTGGGCGCCCGGGAGCTACGGCTCCGGCTTCGCGGCGCCCTGCGGCCAGGCGCAGATCGAAGGGGAGCTGAGAGGGGACCACGCACGTAGCACCCGAGCCGTGCGGGTTGGACGGCCAGGGGTGTTTAGGACATGGGAAAAGGCAGATGTTGGTTGGGATTCATGGTTGGAAAAAGCAGTTGTTGGTTGTGCGCGTGGGTTGTGGGTGTGGACATGGGAAAACCTACCACCCAGCCATCTGCATTTGGACATATTGTAGAAGCCAGAACCGCAACCATTGTTTTTGGGACGGGAAGGGGATTTTGTTGACATGGGAAAAGGCACCGACCGCTGATTTGTTGAAAGTGCTTGGGATATCTTGGGAGTTTGGACATGGGAAAACCTACTACCCAACCATCTGCATAATGTTTGACGAGCTCACCGATTCGGGGGTAAAACGAGCTCACGGTAAAGATCCTTTAGATCCAATTCTTAGTTCAGGTTTTGGACATATTATCAAGTTTGCAGAAGCATTGCTTTTTGGACGGATTTACAAAGCACCAACCGCTGCTTTTTTGAAAGTACTTGGGATATGTTGGGATTTTGGACAGGGGACAAAACAGTTGTTGGTTGGGTACTGGTTTAAGGGTGGTTTTGGAGTTGGTATTGTTGAAACATGACAACCAGACCCGTTTCGACCTGCGGGAAAACAAAAGGAGGTTCGTTCAGTCCTGTTATGGGCGTGTCATGTTTTGGAGTCGGTACGCTTTTTTGGAAAGCTCATTTTGGGGTTCCGCTATTTTGAGACAATCCTAGAAAATGCTCTTGCGATCTGCACACTATCTATTCGACGCAGCCATTTATTTGGGGAAGAAGGACACTATTGGGGGGAAAGGACACAAACAAAAACAAGGTAGTGGGACAATTTGCTGGGTAAGAAGAATACAATCCGCATGCTAGTAGCAACAAATTCTATTTATTAATTATTATGGCTCATATATCTTTTTCAGCATTGCACCATCAGGCCCCGCGAAAAAGGCTTAATACACTACCTTAGCTACTGTAAATAGGGCCAAAAGATCCCGGTGTTTATGTGTCTTGTGGCGAAGCAGCAAGGAATGGATTGGCAGATGCTATGTTTATAAGCCCAATGTGCCTCCTCGTGATGAAGGCTACTGAGCCATTTAGCTAAGCCCACGGACCATCTACGTTTGTCCTTGATTTGTTGTTTGGTTGAAGAAAGCAAGGCCTAAACCCGAAGAAAGCAGACAAGCAACGAAGACTTCAGAGTTGCTGGTGCCATGCGTACCTGCCCGGAAACAAATATCTGACCTTGGTGGGTCCCTTGCACAGAAGACATGCCCTGGGTGGCAAACCACCATTAAAGCGTTGGGGGTTCGTATAGCCACCATTGTTTACCTAAGACTTGTTATCATCTAAATTTGGTTCAACCATTCTTTTCATGGTGGTTGGTTGAACCCTAGGGTATGCTTACAGGAACCATGTTCTTTTAGAGAAGCCATTTGTTCTCTAGGGACAATGTTCCTACTGTGGATGGACGAAATCCTGCACCACCTAAGAAACCATAAACAACCATTGTTGTTACAAGGGAATCGAATCATTCCAGGATTTCTGAACGGTGGTGCGAGAAGCGGATTTCGTCCATCCACAGTATGAATGTTTAGCTTTGGGGAAGCCCTTTGAGCGTCGGATTCCTGGAAGGCAGGTTCCAGCGACTTCCTTGGCTGGTCGGTGGAGGTCTCCCCCTTGGAGGCCTCGATGTGGGGCTCGGGTTGGCGGTCGAAGGAAGCCACGATCCAAACTCTGTTTTGAAACATGAGCAGCCCAGCTTGCAGCAGCATTCGCACAAGCTGACTTTGTCGGACCTGGTCATGATCTCACGGGTGGATTGATGTGGATTACATGCCAACTACAGTAGGCCATGCATGTTTCCTAAATCAAGCCACAAACTGCTGGATAACAACTTCTTTCCAGAGCCCTGTGAAGCACCTCGTGATCACACCAAGAAGCGAATCTAATGGCCTCCACATGCTCGGTGTGATTTTGCCCTGCCCTCTTTTACGACGCAGCCCAAAAGGCGTCGCTCTGAATGCGCCACACTGTGGAGGGCAAATCTGCGTCGCAACAGTTGAACGGTTGAAGTAGCTAGTTTATCCCAGTATTCATGGCAGTTCATCCATTCCAACTGGGCAGCGCCAAGACCCTCGTGACAAGGGTCAATTGAGGGGCTCGCCTAATGCGGGTTCGTGGAAGCCAAAACGCAGGGCACAAAAGCCTGCGAAAGCTTGTGGCGAAAGTGGTTGAACAAGAGCCCGCTTGCGAAAGCATAGCGAAAGTGCATGTTTGCAGTAGCAGATTTCGGCTCCTATTTCAGGCTTGTGCGGGAGGGCTGTGCCGGTCATTGTGAAAGCGTTTAAGTCCCTTTTGAGCTCAGCCGAAATCAAAATGCAGCCGAATTCCGTGAAAGCTCTACGGCTCCGCAAATGCCCCGTAAAAGGAAAACATACATCCCACATACATCTTGTTGGCTTCGCTCGTTTGAAAGTCCAACCATATATTCCATGTAGTATGTAGATTGTCCGGTTAAGCAAGCCCGCGCAAGCTCCGCGAAAGCGACTTTGTCAGAAACTCATGCCCGCGAAAGTGAAACGTGTGGCCGCGAAAGGTTCAAGCGATCTGTAGAAGCTTCTATGTACCCTCCCGCAATTTAACATGGAAGCTGACGGGTCTCTTGAAAAGGAAATGGTCTTCCAGGATTTCTCTGGGTGGTTCCATGTGAATTGGTGGGAGGGTCACCGGTTTTCGGCACCGCACCGCTGGCAGCTTTCGAACCGCGCCTTTCGCAGGCCGAAGCGTGGCAGAGCGTGAGCTGCGACACGCCGCGCCTGGACGGCAGCTGCCAAATCGCCGGCCTGGAAGCCAACACCGAGTACCAGGCACGGAGTGCGTGGGGATGGGCCCAGCCCCAGGCATGGAGTGTGGCGATTGGCCCAACCAGAGGGCCCAAAATGTGGCAAGTGACACATCCGCATCCAAGCAAAAGACCCAGGTGACATGATGTATACGGTATATAGTTTGTTTTCCTTGTTACTTGCAATATTGTGGGCATCCACCGTATGAGGTGCGAAACTGCAACTTTGAGAGAGGGGAATTGTGGGAAGCTGTTTGTCATTCTCATGAGTTTCAACTTCCACTTGCTTAAGATTGATAATATATATATATATATATATAATATATTATATATCCCTAAGGCTCTTTGGTATGTGCATTGGAAGGGTCGGGATGTGCATTGAAAGGGTCCGGCCTAAATACCCTGCTGACGACGTTCCGGGGCTCTGGCAGTTCACAGTTCGACGCCCCGGGGGCCCAGACCCGTTTTGAGCGCACGCGACAAGGTGTGAAACCCAACTGGCCACTGGCCGCAACGACACCCCTGCGCAGAACAAAATTCCGTTTTTCAGATAATTCTAAGAAGGCCAGGCGCTATGGGTGAAGGCTGGGCGGCTTGAGTCCACAGTGTTACCGCTAACGCGCCCGTTGTTTCGGATGTACTTGTGGGCTGGTGATGCGTCTTCACTTGTTTGGTATTTCGCAGCTTCTTGGCAGGAGTCCCGTGTTATCCCGTGTTTGCCAAAAGGTTGCTGACTTTGCTTGTTTGTGTGTGTCTGACAGGCCCATGAGCCGTGTAAAATTCCTTTGGTACGCGCTATCGCTGCTATTGGTTTGCAATGGCGTAAAGTCACAGCATGTATTTATGGGCTAGTTGAGTGCCGATCAGAACGGCACGCGTCAAGTTCTGGCGTCGGAAACACGTCGGGAAGCTAACGCTTGGGCACTCAAAACTAGGCAAACCGAGGGCCCGCGAGGGCCCGAGCGTCGGGAAGCCGTCGGAAACGTCGGGAAGCCGTCGGAAACGAAACGTCGGGAAGCCGTCGGAAATATCAGGAAGCCGTCGGCAACGTCGGGAAGCCGTCAGAAACGTCGGGAAGCCGTCGGAAACGTCGGGAAGCCGTCGGAAACGTCAGGAAGACGTCGGGAAGCCGTCGGAAACGTCGGGAAGCCGTCAGAAACGTCGGGAAGCCGCCGGAAAGCCGTCGGACAGTTTTCAGAAACTGCGGAATGCCAGCATGAGTGAGAGCGCCATCGGAAAGCAGATGTCGGAAAGCCGTCCCAGATCTGTGTTTATAGGAAATACTTGGGCTTGCCGATTTGTCCGTGGCAACTGAATCTTTTGTTTGCCGGCCAAGACGGTGCGCGGGCCAATAACTGTCAAAGCAATTGTTATTGAATGATCGATAGTGGTTGCAGACCCCGAGCAGCCGGGGCCCTCGCTACGAGGGGTCGGGTTTCAATGGCCCCTCGCCATTCTGTCCCTGAGGGCCCAATGCCAAACGACGCCCCGAAAAGAGTTGGGATCCTTAGGGATATATATATTCGCTCGTAGGTTTTAAGGGGAATTTATCACTACTGAGTTACTGGATGTTTTTGTTTGTTGTTGTATTTGTTTATGTTTAATGTTTTGCAGGGGGCTCAAGCACATGACAGTCAAGCTTTTTCTTCTTGGTAATCACCAGTGCCTCTGAGATGCTGCCCTGCTACGCCCTGCGTCATCCTCTCTGCAAGCGACCAGGGTTCTTATCTTGGGAAGGTGTACCTGTTCCAGAGAGTCGGTCATGTATTTCACGTCTCTTTGTTTCTTCCCCAATTGGAGATGTGATTCTCCCATTACCTATTCTGAAGCCCCGAATCTTGCTCAAACCATATGCCCAGCAAAATTGAGCTTGGGGATGAAACAAGAGCTGTGTAAATATTGAAGGAACGGACATGGCGGGCAAGGCACTTGGATCGCGGGAATCGAACAACGCGCATGAAGATTCAGGTAGAGCAGCAATCAGATGCAGGAAGCTGGTAAAGCAAATGAAATGTAACATTAATTTTATGATTCCAGAATCAGCAAGCCCTTTCTGGATCCTCTTTGTTTTTGTAGTGCGGCTTCTCCTTTTCATCTGGCGTAGTGGCCTACCCTTTTTTATGGACCACCACTTGTTCAGCTCTTTTTTAGTAGGAGGCCCCCGAAAAGGTTGGTTTCCCTTCGGGCTTCCCTTTTTGAACAAGCCCAAGGCGCATATCAATGCGAGCCCCCGTCGAAATGCATCTATAGACTAACTTGGTGCCACTTGCTGCCTGCCTGGCAGGTTCGCTTGGCTGAGCTGTGCTTCAACCGTGACCTGGACTCGGACTACACGGCCCTGCCCCGAGAACGTGCCGTCGGTCCCGGTCAACATTTGTGAGCAGACGACTATATATGTATGCTGTGTACGCGTCTATAGGAACATATATATATATCATACATGCAGCTATGTAGTTGATAGCCTCTGAACAACTTGTGTACCCTTCGGGGTGTATCCACACTGATATAGCCCGTGCGTAGCCTTATATAGCTGGCATACATATGTACATCTATACAGCCAGAAAAGAGGTATGGTTTCCAAGTGAATTGGGGTACAACCCCTACACAACACCCTCAGAGGTATATGATAGCATTGGCGTTGGGGTTGGACACCGAAACATTGGAGGAAGGCGTTGTTCATAGTTCGACCCATGCATAGTATCAGAAGGAAACCATAGATTAATGACAATTACTCATTCGTTGGACATTCCTCGGGTAGTGGCTCCCACAAGCGCACGTTAATCGGCATCATTTCTCAATACGGGGACTGCATCAGCACCTCAACAAAATCCTAGAGAGTTGTCACGGCGCAACACTCGTACCGCTCGTATCTGTCCATCAGCCAGTTGCATATCAGCATTTTGTTGGCTAGTATGGTAGAGACTCTTTCACCCTGGATCGGCTTAGACTTGCGTTAGTGTTCAAACCCGTCGATCCAAAGGAATCGGCAATGCACTGCCGGGATACGTACATCTTATAGGTTTCGTTTAAACATTACTCTTCCCCGGTAGGGGGCCTACGTGGATATTACTGAAGTTGGGTCACCGTTTCCATGGCGCCAACCCACAGCCCTGACCAGCATGAGTCCATTTGTCAGTGCATTGGCTTGTACACCCTGTTTCACGAATCCGCGAATAACACTGTGGATGGACGAAATCCTGCACCAACTAATCAACCCGGGACTGATGATTCCCCTGTAAATACCAAGGAACTATGGTTTCCTATGGTTTCATAGTGGTGCGAAATGGATTTCGTCCACCCACAGTTAAGCTCTTTGTGTATTTCAGATTTCAGGGAACCCAGGTCGTGGTCAGCCGCACGCTGCCGATCCCCGCGGATGCGCCGTCGGAGCTAGGCATTGCCTTGAGCTCGGGAGCCTGGAGTCGTTTTTTTGTTTTTTTGGCGGGCACCGTGTTGGGGTGTCGTAGTTTTTATTCGTTCTGTTGTTGGGTATCTCTTTTGCTTCCTTTTTTTTGAGTGGGGTTGGTTTAATCAGAGGGAAACCAGAAGAAAACAATACATGTTGGAGGGTACCACGGTACCCCAATGTTAAGAGGCACCCATATCTGTCAAGAGTCAAACTAGGAGCACCCTGTTGATTGGAGTTTAAACGGAAACCAAGAGGAGTCCAGCGATCTTACGGGAGCACTAATTTCGAGAAACACTCATTTGTGCCTTTCTTTGGGATGCTGGGCTTGCTTTTACTCACTCCCTAACTTCTAGACGTAGTTTTTGCGAAGACCACTTATGTGGCAAATAGAAAGTTTGAAGCATTGTTTGGCCAATCCACTCAGGGAGTGAGCGGAAACGACAACCAACAGGAAACCGTCTTTGGGATTCTAATTCTAGTTCCCTTTGCAAGGTGTGTTTTGTTCACGTGTTGTTTCATCATGTGGCAAAACGGCCGAATGGCCGTTTGGCTCAAGATTTGGATCCCCCGTCGGGACTTCCTTGGATTTGCGTGCGTTCGCCATAGTGCGGCGATTGGCTGCGCCATCGCGGAAAAGGTCCGTGGTGTTCCAGCTGTTCGGCACTAGGAGGTGGGCGGCAGGTCGCCGAGGTGCTCCCGGGCCCGACCCTTGTCTTTACCTTCTTCTACCAGTTTCCTAACCTCCCCAAACTTGATCTTCATTAACTGTCACTCCCACAATCTGGTCACCGGCACCCTCTACATTGTGCTTTGGGACTGGGTTCTTTTGGTACTTCGTGAACCACGTGTACCTCTTTGATTCCCTGGGCTACTTCGTGTTCGCCCAAAACCGCAGGTTATCAGCCGTAACAGCTAGAAGCTGGGGCTGGTGATCCGGTTGCGGGACGTGACCCGCTACCTGCTCCCATCGCCTACTTGTACGAGCAATGGCGTCCCCCGGAGCTTCTCATCGTGGGCCGGGCTTCGTGGACGACGAGGCCAACGCCCTTCGCGGCAACGCCGCGCCTGCTGCCCCGGCTTAGACAGCCGGCTGTGGCCCATTCCCCCGATGGTGGGCGCAGAGCCCAATCCCGGGGTGATCACGGACGATTGGATCCTTTCTCAGGTTGTGTTTGATGAGGATGCGGAGGCCCCTATCCCGGCGGCAGTGCTCCAGATCGAGGACGGACCCCCTCTAGAAGAGGCTGAGGTTCCTCCAAATCAGGTGCCCTCATCGATTTCGCCTACTGTTCCGTTCGTGGCGCTCCAGATCGAGGACCGGGCTGTCCATCATGCTGCTCATCCGGAGCCGGCTCAATCATGGTCCCTTACATGGGATCAGTTTGACCAGCTCCTCGGCAGTGGATCGCAGGCTACACCGCCTGATTTCGGTCGGCTCGACTTCAACTCGGGTGCCCCCATATCGGTTGGGAATCTGGATTTTCAATCCCTTTTTGATGCTGATTGGAGGTCGCAGCCTTCCCGAATTGACAGATCTTTTGATGCCCTGCCTACACATGAGCCTACTCAGGGTTTTCCTCATGATGGAGAAAATGACCCCATTGAAGATTTCTCCCCCTCTCATGTTGCAGGTTCGGCCCAACCCGAGGTGGGCAAACGGGCGATTGAGGATTGGCCGCAAATAGCTGGCCTTCCTCCCGTCTCAGGTTCATCCGACATTGACATCATTCACGATCACCCCAGTCCGGCGGATATGGACTTCATCCCTGACGCAGTATCATCTCACCTGTCAGGTACCCGCGACCGGAATGCGGACCGCTACAACGCTGGTCCGAATCCACCGCTTTCCTCAGGTACCCGAGGTCGGGATGCGAACCGCTACAACGCGGGCTCAAATCCGCCAAATCGGGCATCAGGTACTAATCGATCGGACGCGGGCCGCGAAACAGCAGGCCCAAATCCTTCCTCCACTTCATCAAGAAGCCATGCCGGTCTATTCGCGGCGTTCAATCGGCGTCAGACTCGAAAAGAGTCCGCCCCCGACGTCATCGACCTCGAAGAGCAGTCCAGCCACCGTACCAGTGATGGATCCGAGCAGGATACACCTGGTATTGGCTCTACTCCCTTCGACCTCCTCGACATCCCCTTCCATCAGCCACCCAGGAGAGGAAATGAAGATGATGAAACCATCCCTGGAATCCTTGATGTAATCGATGAGGCCGAGGTCACACCAGAGAGACGAACGACATCGCTCCCGCCGAGCCGCGTTGCCAAAGTACTTTCCCCTAAGCCACTCATTGGTGACGTTGCTCAACGGCTTGATCTCACTCAACCTGATCCAGATCAAGCTCAACTTCGCGGGTCGTCATCTTTTGATAACATGTCGGGACAAACCGGCACTGACTCACGAGCCACAAAGAGGAGCTCTGAGTCACCCGAGAGACGTGAAGCTGCTTTGCGATTGCGATCTAATCCCCCAGCTCATCACGATCCTATTGACGTTCCTATCCACTCTGCGGGGTCTGGGCTCAGCTCCAATGCCCCGATGTCTGAGAAGGAGACTGATGACGGGATTAACTCTACGCCCAGGAATCGGAGACCTGGACTTAGCACTGTTGCTCCTGGTCATGGAGGGCTTCCTTCAAATCAACCGGTCAACAACTCCCTCGTCCCCGCATTCTTTCAAATTGGAACTCCGGGCTGCACTCCCGACAGGGAAGAAAATAGGCGCGGAGATCATGACGCTGATAGTCGTCCTGCTCCGTCTGCTTCCACAAGTGGCGGCCATCCTGTTGCATCTGAGCTTCAACGACTGCTTCTCGCGATCCACAACGAGGTAAAGGGGTGCAAGGCCGAAATCCAGGGATGCAGAACTGAGATTCGTTCATGTAGGGATGATATCAACGCTTGCGTCGGTGAGATCAAGAAGATCAATAACCGTGTTGACGCCTTCGAGAAGAAGGTTGAATCATCTTTCTCTGCCGTTGCCGGAACTCTCTCAAAACACGAGGCCAAGTTCCGTGATTTCCACGAGTGGGTCGCCCGAAGCGAGAAGGAGATGAATGAGCGTTTCAAGATGTATGATGAGAGGTCTGACTCGATCGTCATATCCGCTGCTGAACTTCGCGAGCAGGCCGAATCACTTGAGAACGTCAAGGTCCAGCTCCTTAGGTTCTCTGAGATCGGGGCCCTTGAGGCTGAGGTTCGGAAAATCAAGGACGAAGTTGAGGCGAACTCTCGCAGTGTCATCGACATTGAGGGAACCATCTCAAGGGAAAGAACCATCCGTGGGAACGTCGAGACGTATATCCAGCAGCTCGTTCCTGCGACCGACCTGAAGCAGTTCAGTGATAGGATGTCCGGAGCTCTCAATGAGAACTCACAGAAACAGGAAGAGTTCAAGCTTCAATTGTCCCGTATTGCTAGATGCGTCAAGGACCTTCATGACAAAAGCTTAGGCCCCAATCCGAGGGACATGCAAGAGCAGTTTATGAAGCTTGTGCTGAGGGTCAATGAGATCAACATGCAGATCGCTGAGTTGAGGGAGCAACCTCTTGCTGCCTGCGGGTCTTCAAGTGCTGGCGCTGCTTCGACCGCCGGAACGGGACCATGGGAGAAATCTGGAGACACTGATCCCTTAACCCAGGGAAGGGCTCCTAGAGATTCTCCCTCTCGTGATGCTCGCACCGTCAGCTCGGCTAGGCCTCCTCCACCTCCACCTCCTTCAGGGCCACCCCCACCGTCACCATCAGCCCCCATCTTCGGCAGGGATCCCTCTAGAACGAGGGCCATTGCTCGGGCTGCCGGCGCTGCCCCTGATAACCGGGCCAGGTGTGATCATGAGGAGCCCGGGCATCCACAGCATCGGGAACCTCGCTATCCATGCCGAAGCTGCGGCAAGTCAGTCTGCGAAGACTGCTTTGACCATGATTGTAACTCGTGTTTCAAGTGCAGCGATCAGTTTCCTAGAT